GAATGTTTCTTTCCCAATCAGTAGTGCCATGCATTATAACATAAGTCTAAAAATCCTTGTCATTGGCTGTAGAGGCGGCCCCAGCTGTATGAGTATTCATTAACTGAGTCCCTTCACTTTCATGGCCAAGCAGTTGGAGAACTACATGTAAAAAGTGCCAGCACTTACACGGTTTCAATGACAATGCATGCCAGATTGTTTCTCCTACATACTTCCGACGCACCTCCACCACCTCTCCCCATACCACTCACTCAAGTGACACAGTCTCTTTGTTTCTGTTGTAAGTTGAAAACTGTACTGCCATGTTTCATGTTGCTGCTGCCTCCTGGGGTTATCTGTTCTATCTCCCTTCAAACTAAGTTCTGCAATATTCTTCAAATAATTTATTTTGTAAAAATGTCCATGCAGTGATGCAGTGAAACTACAGATTGAGTCAGTCCACATAATGTAACTTCAACAGGAAAACATCCCGCAAGGCACGTGATTTATGGTGGCAAGGCATCCCTCCGTCTGTACGAGGCAAGGTCTGGAAGCTGGCCATCGGAAATGATCTGAATGTAACACACCAGCTGTATAGCATCTGCCTTGCTCGTGCCCAGGAAAGGCTGAGAGCAGCTGATTGTTTGGAGGTTGGAGACTCAACAAGGACAACTCGTAGTGGAGACAGTGTGGACAAGGAGGCTAGCATGGAACTCATTCAGCTGGACATAGCTAGAACGTTCCCACACCTGTGCATATTCCAACGTGTAAGTTTTTTTATTTATTATGCATTCCTTTTATATCCTCTCGACAGGATTTATGGAAGGTGAATAAATGAAATGAAATGAAATCCTGAACACAGCCATGTTTATATATGTGGGAGCCTACCGCAAGTGCTAGCCAATCAGTGTGTACCATGGCAGTGCCAGTGCCCATTGGACTGGGCACTGCTAGCAGCAGCAGATAAAGATGTTGACCATTTAATTTGACCATATTGTGCTAGTCAGTCAGTTGGAACTACTCTTACCTCGCGACACCTCATCTGGAGTGCACACAACAACAGCGAGTCTTCTAGCAGCAACACCATCAGCTGACTGCTAGCAGTCACCTAGTCACATTGGGAAGCCTACCACCCTCTGGTCAGCTCATGGTCACCTGGCTGGTGAACAAGGAGGACAGCCATTTCTAGCGGTGCCCAGCCCAGTGGGCGTTGGCACTGTAGTGATCCATGCTGATTGGCTAGTGCTTGTGGTAGGCTTCCACATACAGTTATGTGGTGTGCTGTTGTGAATGTAATGCTGTTTTGGTCTGGTGAGAGTGGGGAATATTTTGGGCAGTAAGTTTCAAACTTTTCTCTAAAGGATAATGATTCTGATTCACTACACACAAAGAGAATTATTCTGCATTTTCTTGCAGAGTACCTTATAAACCAGTAATGGGCTGGTTGAAACCAATACAAGTCTGTGGAATTGAACTATCATGCATTGTTCAAGTATCAGGAGGTTTGCTGTTGAACAGTTATCTGGGCTTAGGTTCTTTGTGGTTTTCCTAGAATTTTCAGATAAATGTAGGGGTAATGTTTTAAGATAGTGAATAAATTACAGAATCTGAGTTTTCTGGGATAAGTCATTTTGGCAAAATATGAAAGAATATGAAGTGAAAATGTTCTGTGCAGCTGATTCTGCTAGTTGTCTCCTTGCCAGACTGCCCTTGTCTGCATTCTGAATCTGCACATACTTTCCAATCTTTTTTTTTCTGAGAGATCTGAGAAATTTGTTAGTACATAGTGCAGTTGAGTTGATAAATATCATCACACACTGTATTTGGATGTCATATTATTTTTTCATATATTATAAATATATTTTACTGTCTTACACAACTGTGTTCATATATACAATGCAACCTCAATATAATGAGAATTTATAAAATCTGTAAAAATGTTCATTGTCATGAGTACTAGCAATATTTGAAAATGAAGTACATAATTCTCATTTCCAATTTATAATTATTATATGACATGAAGATTTGAAAAGATAATACATGCTCCACAGTATTTATTCTTTTTGCTAAGTTCACAACAGAAACTTATGGAAATGCCCATAGTATTAGCTTTGCCATGTTGTTTAACCATTTGTCTGCATGTAACAAATCAAGAACTGCTAAATGGATTCACATTAAATTTGATATTTGGGAGTTTTCTAAACTGTGTCAATATATTTCAGTTTCACTTAATATCTGACAGCAGTAAAGGACAACCAAAATGCATTTTTGCGTACATGTCATGTGGAAATAATTGAGACTTGCTGTATATTTACCAGAATGAAAATAGTTTTGTACAAAAGTTGTAGATAAAAATGAAAATCACATATTATATCTGATACAGTTTTCTTGTAAGTTGTACAGTTTTCAGAATAATAAAACAAAATGGATTTTATGTTTGTCTAGAGCAAACATGCCAGAATTATTACAGTATGTGAACATTTTCTAAGTTGCTTGAAGTGATGCTATGTAGACACAAAAGTAACAAAAGGATGCTATCGCATGCTTTCATATTATCAACAGTGAGAAGCTGATGATTTTCTCATGCTTACATGATCTTTTGCACTTGCAACGCTTGACATATGTCTTCCTACCAAAAAAAAAAAGTAAAAAAATAAAACCATCAACAGGCCATGAAGGCCCATAGGGTTGTGAGACATTGAGGGTCGCACATTATCTAGACAATCAGCTTAGAGGTGGCGGTAAGGTTGTCAGCATTACGTGCCGGCCGCGCTTTACTCCCCAGGAAACTTATTTAATTGATTCCTGGTACTCATTTGTGTTAGAGGCTGGGTTGACCCCAGGGCCATAGTGCGGCTGGAAGGATTAGGTCAACTGAAAAAATCTAATGACCTCATCAGGACTTGAACCCACGACCTTTCAGCTTGTAGCATAGTGCCTCAACCAACTACATTACCGCGTGGCCCCATCCTACTGTGAATTAAAATGGCTGTATGTCCTAAGCACTTCTGCATCATGGTAGCAGAAGGTCTCTATTTAGACATTGAATTCTCAAGAGGGAGATTCTGGGAGAAGCTCAGAATATGGTTTAGCAGTACCTTAAGGGAATGTGAATTATAAATAGTTATGGAAGCAAACCTGCAATAGTAGTTCATGCAGAAAGTTTTGGAGAGATGTTGTGGCTGGCTAGGAATCAGTCATTATGTTGGAGGTGCCAGAATAAAATTTGCTCATTTTATATGGGGTTATTCCACATATGTAACATTGACTTGTTGGCAGTGCTGACTTTTTCTTGTTCTAAAGAAGTTCTTGTTGTAAGCTATACTTGTATTACAGTTCCACTGTAACTCTTTTTAGATTATATGTATTGTTGTGTATAGTGGTCACATGTTTCACCTTTAGAAGATGATCATCAGGCCATACATACTATGTATATGTATTTTAACCAAACTGCTATGACATACTTAATGTAGATTTGTTTGTTGGCATGCTTGTTATTTTTGATAATTACATTTTTAAAATGTAGTCTTTTTAAGAATAAGTAGGATGTAGATTTAGTCTGTTAGGAGCTGTATATGCTGGCATGCTCACTACTTCCATTACAGAATTCTTAAAATGTCCATATAATGTATCATTTATTATTATAAAGACTGAGTTGTGTGTATGGGTTATCAGGGCTCTTGTATTTGGAAGCGTGTGTAATATTGATTGTTACTCAAGGTTACAGTGTCTATTTATTTATGTAGTCTTTATTGTACAGAAGTGTGTTTTATTGAACATTCTGTCCATTATTCTGTTTCCTGAGAGTCAGTCTTGCACCATCTGTATTTGCTGGTGATCTCCATCCATCCATGACCTGTGGCCACTGCATGCCACAGTGGCATTACAGATCTATTTTCCTATCCTGACATCAAATCAGGAAATAATTAGGCAGGAGATAATACAGTTGAAACTTGGAGGGACAGAGAAAAATTAATGATGGAGCTCAGTTCATGTTATTGATGTTGATTATTGATATTGATTATTAATATATTATTATTGATTATTATGGTTTTAATATTGATTTAGTTGCAAAGCATTCACATTATAGAGACTTGATATTGCATGGATCCTTGTCTTTGTTTATTTTTTGTTGATTCACACGATGTTATTTGGTGTATGGATACAATGTATGACCATTTTCCCACAGAGATATCAATGTTTCCTCTGCTGTTGTTGCATTGGGATTAAATTAAATTAAATTAAATTAGTTACTGATTAGTATACCCAGCATGTAAAGAGGTTGTGAATAAAATCTAGGATGGAACTCAGTTCATGTCCTGACAGGATTGCCATTGTCACAAAGCTGCAGAGGTATGTTATTTTATATACAGATTTGTGTTTGACTTATATTCAACTTATACAAACTAGAATAACATTTGAGATCTAATGTCCTCAGAGCAGTGACTGTGCAGTAATTTTATTAGCATAGGCTGTGCTGGACAATGAAAATATTATAACCATATCTCATTTTGAGATATATCCATCGAAGTGTAAGTTTGAAAAATAGTAACCCTAAATGTTATCCAAGAACAAGATGACTTCTTTTGTCAAGTATTCAGCCAGAGTAGCGGATATGAATTGGGCCTTTCGTGTGTAATGAGTTAGGGATGCAAGATTCTCAAAGTTATACATTTCCTCTAACCTTTACCAGTTTCTTGATGTGACAGTCATTTCTCTCTAGAGGCAGTTGCATTTGGTGCTGCTAGATAAAACCACAGCTGTTGTAGTTCCTGTGTAGATAATGTGGTTATCCCTGTCACATTGGCTCCTTCCTGGTCCACACAGTGACCTCACACTCTTCTCTAACCGCAGGAAGGCTCTAAATGTTGTGATTGCTTTACTGTACATGTTGAGTCAAGTGCCCAACTTGAATTCCTCGTGAAGTGGCAGATTGTATTTTCATGAATATTCTTCTCTCATTTCTCTATAACATCAGTTACTAATCACTTTCTTGATCATCTGCCTTTCCTGTATTGTGTTAGGCCATGATTGGTTTGGACTGTCACATTCTGTGTTATGACTCTGTGTAGTCTTGTAGGTGGATGCTGCCTCCATCTTCAGGGTTGAAGCATGTAGAATGTGGAATATGTTTGGTTATGTAAGCATGTTGCATGGAAGGGGGTGAGGGTTGGGGCCCAGATTAGGCCTGCCTGTGTAACCAACCATTTTCTCAGCATACATACTTCAACCCTGAACGTGGAGGCAGCATGTTTGTAAAGTCTGTGTCTGCCAATCAGAGTACATGGTGTCATAAATCAAAAGATCAGAGTCTGTTACCTTGTTCCTGCTTGTGTTTTGTGATGGTTGTTTAGTTTTCATTGTACCCATCTTATTATTCTTCCTGCACTTACCCTAAATGAAATCTGTAGCGTATAATATTGTTTCTGTAAAGGGTTAATCATATTCTGATATAAAATAACAATAAGAGAAAACTGCTTAATTTCCAGGTTGTCATGTCTGATGCATTAGAAAAGTAAAAAAAGTAAAGTAAAGCTATTCCTGTACCAGGCCGTGAAGGCCCATAGAGTTGTGAGACGTCGAGGGTCCCACATTATCTAGACAGTCGGCTCATAGATGGCAGTAAGGTTGTCAGCCTTACCCGCTGGCCACGCTTTACTCCCCAGGAAAATTATTTAATTAATTCTTGGTATTCATTTCTGTTAGAGGCTGAGTAAACCCCAGGGCCTAGTGCAGCTGGAAGGATTAGGTCAACTGAAAAAAATCCAGTGACCTCATCGGGTCTTGAACTTGCAACCTTCCAGCTTGTAGCATAGCCCCTCAACCAACTATGCTACCGTGTGCTCCTCTGATGCAGTAGACCATAGTGAAATTAAAGGACCCCTGCTTAGCATACTAAAATGTGGCATATGAAGGATCTTATTTTAAATCATATGATAGCATTAGGATACAGTGGGTTTAAGTAGTTAGACACCACATTAACTAGCACGCAGATACATAATGTCAGAATATAAATGTTCACTATTTTATATACTCTATCCATTTTCTTTTTGGGTGAGGAAAGGTTTTGACACTCCTACAGCAATTTTTACATATTGTACTGTACGACCACCTCTCTTGAATAACTTTCATATATTATGTCCCCTAATGCAAAATAAAAGGATGTACAATTGTGGCAATCAAGGTTTGATACCAGCATGTTTCAGCCTCTGCTTGGGCTCCTTATAGGAACCTATTTTATTTTAAGTTGCAAATGATTTGTTGTGTTGTGTAGGATAGCTCATTCAGTGTAGTGATATGCTGGATGGCCTAGGAATTGGGGTTCAATTCCCAGTGTAGGCAAGAAATTTTTCTCTTCTCTACAGCATCCAAACCAGCTCTGAGGTCCACCCAGCCTTCTGTCCAGTGAGTACTGTCTCCATTTTGTGGAGGGGGAGCAAGTGGTTGGGTCTAGAAGTTGACCACTCATCTTCATCTAGCACTGAGGTTAAGAATATGTAGATATATATGTTCACTCCCCCATACATCTTCATGGCTTGGTGCTTAGTTAATTAAGGACAGGAACAACTTCACTTTGATGGTTTGTTGTATTACGTATCTGCAGAAGCATGCAGGAGGAATGAGAACCAAATAAGTTTGTTACATTGGTTATTTTCTAACTTGTATTGGGAGAAGCCCAGTTTATATCTCGGGTGGGATACCAGGTATTGTGATTGAGGTTTCTTTGTGGTTTTTCTCAGTCCCTCCAGGCATATGCTGGGTTAGTAGCTTGAATTAGGTAACAAATGCTTCCTTTCACATCCTTTCCAATTCATTGTTTACTATTACTGAATCTTTCAACACAGACAGCATTGTTAAATAAACTACAAATAAAATAAATGAGGAATGGAAAAAGTATATATGATTTAATGAATAGTACAGGTGTCTTACAAAAGAATTGCAAGAGGGACGGCAGTCTGTGGATACAGAAGTAAGTCTGCTGGAGGCAGTACATTGCAATGTTGTGGTGTGGGTGATGTCAAAATATGTAGATGGTAGACTCAGAGCATTTGCCACTTATCTTAAGGTCCTAGTTTGTGCTTTTTCTGTTACTGCATGACAGACTGTTGCTGTGGTAACATTGGCATTTGTAGTGATTCTTGCCTGTCACAGGTGTAACTTTGCTATAGATATGTGGTTTACTTTTTCAGGGTGGGCCGTACTATGACATGCTGCACTGTCTTCTGGGTGCATATGTCTGTTACCGTCCTGATGTGGGGTATGTCCAAGGCATGTCCTTCATTGCTGCAGTTCTCATCTTGAATCTTGAGGCAGCAGATGCTTTTGTTTGCTTCGCCAATCTGCTCAACAGGCCATGCCATGTAGCGTTCTTCTGTCTCAACCAAACTGTCGTTAGTATCCTTAAATGATCAGTTCTTTCTTCACAGGAATGTTATCACTGGTAAGTTCTGCCACAGTGATGGAAACAGATTCACCTAACTGACTATGTGGAACACAGTTTCATGAGAAGCTGAGAGTTGCTGAGCTCTTCAAGAAATTTCTCATCTTTTATGGAAAGTATGAGGTTTCTGATTATGTAATTTTCTCTGGATCTCTGTTATTTCATTGCTCTTGAATCCAAATATTCCCTCCAGCACACAGTTCCCAAACTCCTTCCCTGAAGTAATACATGCAGTTTTGCGTTAATACACAGAACATTGTACTGTTATACACATCAGTTTTGATTCTTGAGGAAGAAAGACATGAAGATGAGATGCTCTGAACTTGAATGGTAGCATCTGCATCTTGTGTTTATTCTCCTCGCAAGTAAAGTAAGTAAAGTTACAGTATCCCTGTAACAGGCTGTGGAGACCCTTAGGGTTGTGAGATGTTGAGGTTCCCACATTTTCTAGACCGTCGGCTCATAGATGGCGGCAAGGTTGTCAGCCATACATGCCCACTGCCCTTTACCCCCAAGAATATTCCTGGTACTCATTTCTGTTAGAGGTTGAGTAGGCCCCAGGGCCATAGTGTGGCTGGAAGGATTAAGTAAATTGAAAAAATCCACCTCGTTGGGATTTGATACCATGACCTTCTGACTTGTAGCATAGTGCCTGAACCAACTACACTACCGCGGTCCCCCATGTTTATACAGTACACATATCTAATCTTGACACCATGAAGAAATCAGACAATCAACGGTTATAATATCTGGAACATTTTTATCAAATAGTAACACAGTCCCTAGATAACCAACTTCATTGAACAGATTATTTTTTTAGAAAATGATAGTTGCTTAGATGGTCGAAAAATCTCGCAATTGTTACCGAATCGTAAGCTTTATTTACCGGTGACCTGGCTTGTAGCATAGTGCCTCAACCAGCTATGCTACCTCGTGCCCCCTTATTATCCTCATACGTCACAATTTTGTTCTGTTACTGATGTTCACCAAATCCTTGAATTTTGCCACACTTCCACTGTTTATCAAAGATTCTTGTGATAATATTATTTCCAGGCCAGGTAGTGTAGTAGTAATGCTCCAAACTTATATTTGGGAGATGCTTGGTTCAGATTTCAGACTAGACACCAGCTGTTTTAACTGAGGTTTTCTTCAGTCCCTTCAGGAAAGAGCTGGGATAGTACCTTGCTTAGGCTGAAGCTTTTTATTTCCAAATCTGTTCTTATTCGTTATTCACTAGCCATTCTGCTATTCAATGCTATAAAATCTGAGATAAAGACAGTGTCATAAAATGCACTACAGTGAATTCTAGGCCAACATTTTGACTGGTTTTTAAGATGGTTTACATTTATGCCCAATAAATTAACACTTTAACTCAGAGATATTGGGTTTTCGGACTTTATCCATCATCCTGGTTTTTAAGATAACTAAGAAAANTTGTGTTTTTCTTAGTTATCTTAAAAACCAGGATGATGGATAAAGTCCAAAAACCCAATATCTCTGTGTGTTATACACCATTGTCAGAATCCTATAGTAACTACTAACACTTTTATTGTCAGCAACTTTGCTGGAGGCTTACCTACCAGCCCAGCCATTCTTAGCAGTACAGTAAGGTTTACATTGTTTCACGGCAAATGATTGATGTGTATCCATGGAATTACAAAAGGTATGCCTGCATCTGCTAGGAACAGAGGAAATATGGTGTGCCTGGAGTGCATTCTGAAAGAAAAGTATTAAGTTTTGTCATGGTGTGATACTCTGTTAGATATGGGAGTCTGATCAAATTACCGGTAAACGACCAACTTCAGGTACAGGAGTGAAAGTGTTGTCATCGATGTTCTTCTTGTATTCTGTTCAGTCCCAGTTGTCCTAATTCTCTTGGCTGTGAAGTGTCTTGAGGAAGGTACAAAAGAAGGATTTCTGTGCCCATACTCTTTACAAGAGTCCTTTTAAAGCTGCCTCTTCAAGGTCAGTTGTCTTTTCATTGTTACCCTTTGAGGGAATACATTACCTATGGCCCAATCAGGTTGCCATCTCTTCTTTCCTATTCCTGGCTCTGATTAGCCAGTTCTCTTGTTCTTTTGACACAGTCCTGTCACTTCTGCTATATAACCTACCTGTTACTGACCTTGGCGTACCGTGCTTTGAAGGTGGAGGCAGCAGGGTTTTCAGACTGTCCAGACTACATAGTGTAAAAACCCAGAAGACTACAATTTGAATCATCACTGCCATGGAATGATGGATTGGGATCAAGCCTTCTGTCTGATAGGTATCCTGACTGTACCCCATTAGTCATCATCTTGTAAGGGTATGTCAAGGAATGTGTTTACATTCTGCTATGGTCAGGTCTGCAGGCTGTATGCTTGCTGTGTTCCTGTAGCTGCACACGTGGACAAGTTGTAATACAACATGATATCTGGCTCTCCTAATTGGCATTTGGTTACTTCTCATGAATTAGCTTTAGAGATATAAAAGGTTTTGTATTGGTCAAGTATTTTCACAACACACTATAACAAACACTGAACTGCACTGGCTTCAGTCCAGATTCAGATTTTGTTGAGACCTGTTTTTATGTTTATTCCAAAGTCATTAAGAATGGCATATGATACTGTTCTCACAATTCAGTTCTAGCATTTTCTGAGATCTCGAAATAGCTGCTGTACTGGCTGACTTGCTGAACTCCATAGGCTGTGCAGTAGCTGAGTGGTAAGTGGCTTCTCCCTACAGAAACTAGGGCAGTCCATGTGGGATTTTTTATGATCAGAGTGGCAATGGGGCAAATTTTTCTCCAAAGTTTTCTACTGCTAGTTATTATTCCAACAATGCCCCCTACTCATTTATTATTAGGATCTTGTACAGTAAGCCAATTTGAGGCTGCCACATGAAAGGACTAAGTCCTGCCCAATTTCTGTCACCATTCCACCAATCCACAATCCATATATCTTTAGGGGCTGGAACATTAGCCCCTTTTAAGGTAGCAGACCCATGGAACAAGGGCTCACCCCATGCCTACAACTTCAAAAGAACTGAATTCCATGGAACAGAGTGCTTCATGAGAAAATTGATAGTCACCAAGCCATTTTGTATATTTTCTGTCAGTTATGGAATCTGGAGGATCATTCCCATGTTCACAGAAGCCCGCTCTGTTGAACATCATTTGAAACTGCTGTAACTACCCTACAACCTGAAACATTTGGCAGTGCCTGAAAGATGGGAATCAACTGGGAACCTGGTTCTTGTAAATCACTTGTCAGTATTTTGAAAGTCCTCATACTGTCTCTTGATTGTTCTGACCATACAATTCCTGTTTCTTTGAAACAAGAAGTAGTTGCTTATCTGAATTTCATTGTTTTGTAGTAACTTAGTTTAGTAGTTATTGCACACCAAATTAAAAAGAAGCTGAATCCATTCTGTTTTATGTTTAACAGATGAATGCGTACTATGCTGCATACAACGATTTCTTCCGTGAGAATCTCCCTCGACTGTACACCCACTTCACAGAATCTTCCCTCAGTGCTGACCTCTACCTCCTGGACTGGCTGTATACAGTTTTTGCCAAGGCCATGCCACTGGATGTGGCTTGTCGTGTCTGGGATGTATTTCTTAGAGATGGAGAGGAGTTCCTCTTCAAAGCTGCTTTGGGTAAGTGGGCACTAATATTGACCAATCTTGGGAACTATCATCGCCTGCAGTGCTGCAGTACAGTGTGTCAGAGAATTCTATTACTATATATTTGGAAAACTTTTCACACCCTATGTACTGTGTTTTAAACCTGTTTTGGTATATTCCAGTAATTTAAGCATGATTTCAATATTTTCACTGTGGCCTTTTGGGTTGAGACATCATGCAGTTTTGGAAGCAGATGGTGACATTTGGATCATCCTGCTGCCTCCAGCTGAAGTCTTCATTTCTGAAGATGGAGGCAACTTTTTCCTGTGAAACATTACTATCCACCTATAAGACTGCGTGGATCACAACCAAGAAGACCATAACCTGTTTCCTTAGCTGTGTGTGGAGTTGCTCTGTCTTGCATAAAATAACCAAATCTTTCTTCTGCAGGTGCCAAATAAACAAAAAAATGGATTGAGTATTTCATTAATGTATTGAGCATCAAGAGTTCCTTCATAAAATATTGGTCAAATGATATAGTTTGTACTAATCAAACGCCATATGCCTATCTTTTGGTCATAAAGGGGAAATTGAATTAGCACATGATAATTTTCACTACATGTTGTTTTGTGAGTTAATATATCCCAAGATATTAAAATTAGCCTCATCTGTGAAAAATGTCAGCTTAGGGTCAGTAAGTCCATCATTCACATGGTTGATAAACCACTTACAAAACCTCACTCTTTTTTCATAATCCACAGGTTTAATTTTAGGAACAACAGTTATTTTATATGGATAAATATACAACAGTTTAGTTGCTGTCCATTCACTGCCTACAGAAACACTAATTTTTGCAAAGATTTTCAAGGGGAATTTTCTAATCGATGACCGATATGAAGTTTTTCCTCACTTAAAACACGATTTCTCTTTAATGGCTTTCTGTCAGTTAAAATGTCGTAGGTTCAAACTATCTTCACCAGTTTGGAAATTGTATCTCCAGATGGACATATTGTTTTGGGAAATTTATAGCAAAATATTCTTCTGCATGATTTGTATGAGTTTTTTTTTTTTCACATCACAAACATAAATCAAAAGCCTTTGTTCTAAATTGTATCTCACACAAGCCATAATTACACAGAACAGAGCACAATAGAAAGAAGCTTCTGTAACACTTGATGTTATAACGCTGACGGCACTGACTAACTCACTGATCAGCTGATCACCGAATGAATGACCTTCAGTTTACTGGACACTCCCAGAGCATTGCCATGACGACGTACAGGGAAGCTCCATGGATGTCTAATAAGTCTGCACAATGAACACTTGGTATATTGGGCTTAGCTACATGATTTAGTGTATGTGTGTTGGGTGATACCTACATGATACAGTCAGTATATCCTCGGTATAGCTACTCAGTATAGCATATATGTGTATCCTGGGTATGGCTATATGATGTAGTCTGAATGGTAGGCAAAGGCTTGGTGTATACCAAGTACCAGCCAGTATTTCTGCACTTGACTGTTGCAGGGGTCCTGCACCTTCACCAGGAGGCATTACTCAAGCTGGACTTCATTCATGGGGCACAATTCCTTACAAAACTTCCGGATGACCTTGCAGCCGACTTGCTCTTTAGATCTATTGAAGCTATCCACATGAATGTGGGGAAACAGAGGTTTGATGAAGTTCTGGCAAATCACATTGACAGATGCCAACATGAGCCGAGTTGAGACATGTTACAACAGCGTTTGTTATGTAAGACATGGGCTCTTTGCTTGAAATGTTTCTGTAGCTTTTAAGGTCTTGAATGTGAAATGAAGTACAAAACTGGCACCAGTTGAATGAATCTCTGTATCAAATTATCATCTGAATGACTGTATAGCCAATATGTGGTGTCCATATGGGAAATGTTTTATATATATACTCATAAATAATTTTGTTTAAATCCATGTTGACAGTATATCAAAGAGTTCCATCCTCTGGTAAATGCTCAACACTAAAACGCTGTACAGAAATCTATGTATGATGCCAAGAAAGTTTTGATGCTTTATTGTTGTAATTTTTATATATGGAATTTCCGTCCAGTATATATTTGGTTGACAATTTCTGAATGTACAGTTTGTGCTAATTATATTATTTTGATCGAATTTATGGCCATAATTATACATCTATACTGTAATAAAGCTGAGGAATGTTTGAGTCTGTTTTTATCATTTACAGTGAAACCCCAATTTAATGTTTCCATGTTTAGTGAAATTTTTTTGGTGAACATTTTGTCTGATCCCAGCCAAAGCTGGTTATGAACAGCATATCATTTGCTTGTACTTGTTGGATTTTTCATTTAGTAAATAATACACATTTGATGTAAGAGACTTTCTACATGTAGTTTGAAAATTTACACATTAGTTTACTGTGGCTGTGATTGAACCAACAATTGATATTCTAGTATTCTGTCTGCTTGAAAACGTTTCTTCACGACCATGACTTTGATGGGTGATGTCTCATGTTGAAAACCTGCCATAACCACATTGCTTATGGCGTTATAGTTGCTTTCATTCTTGACTGAGCTTCTTACAGTTGTTATTTCATATGTCATTGAATATTTTAGAAAGTGCTTTGATATTATGTAATTGTATTTGTTTGCACAGGAACAGTTTCTTGAAGTACTTATATAAAGAAATTATTTGATAATAATTGTATTCAGTTACAGATTTCAGATACAAGCAGTAATTTCTTCTTTACTAAGGTTCTGTTTGACCAAAGCTTCTGCATCAGACATTTGGTCATTTGCTCCTAGAAAACTCGTAGGTGCATTACAAGCAGTCTTCACTTTTTGAAGGGAGTCAGGATAGCTCAGTCCATAGAGCAATGAGTTATGGGCTGGACAGGTAGGGTTTGATTCCCAGAAGGGGCAAGAATTTTCTTTTCTCTGCAATATCCAGACTGGCTCTGAGGCCCAAGTTTCCTATCAATGGGTACTAGAAGCGATTTCCCCAGATGTAAAGCGACAGAGGCATCCACTTTCATCTAGTGCTGAGGTCAAGAATGGTGAAGCTGTACTTTCACTCCCCATATATCTTCATGATATAGTGCACACTGACAAGTTTACCTTTACATATTAAAGTGGGTGAAGAGTCCATTGTAAATTTTATATTTGCTATGATTCCCATTGCATAGGTTGCATGTATCTTGTGGACTGGTAGTATTCACTATAAAAATAATTTATATATTAAAAGTTTTAACTTAATTAAATCCCATATTTAAGAACATTTCACAGAAATAAATGCAGCAAAAGTGGTAAATCAAAGTAATATTTCTGGGCTGTGATAATTTGTAGTCTGGTAGAGGTGTTTCATTTGGAGGAACATAATCCATCTATCTTAGGGTCAAAGAGTAAATCCAGAAGCCAGCAGCAAGTGCAGTGATCCCCACACGAGAAATATCATTAAATGCAGGGGACGTGGGTAGGAGACCAGAGAGAACCAATAAGAGGAAGAAGAGTAGTATAGGACTGATATCTTGAAAAGAATCCTATTTTGTAAAAGTAAAGAGATGAGAGAGGCAGTAGGAGAGTGATACAAGCAACCAGTGAAAGGTAAGGAGTGCCAGGAGAGTATGAATGAATGAATGAATGAATGTATAAGTTTGGGCCTTCTCGGCCCTTGCACCGTGACCTACAGTGATCTATTGTGCTTCCCCTTTTGTTTATCCCCTCAGCAATCCTCCACTTCGAATGAAACTTGGAGTCACTCTGTGCTTAGCAGTTGTCAGAACACTTGCAGAGTTAAAGTTTCTAGACTGAATCGCTGAAACTCTGATTGATACTTAACATGAGACTTAATCCCAAATGTGATTGCGCAGGATAAATTAACTAAGATTCTTACTCTCAGATTTATGCATTAACACTTGAAATGAAAAGCAATGTTGCGATGCACTGTTGAACGTTAATGTGTTGGATGAATTTAAGTTATGTAGTGGCTTGTGAAGGAATGTGCCACATCTCAGTATACTGTGTCTGTTCTGTGAGTAAAGGTAAAGTGTATGGGTGAGTGGATGTATAGACCCATGTTTTCTTGACCTTGGCACTGGTTGGAGGTCGTTGGTCAGCTTCATGCCTTGGCCGCTTTACCCCTTGGGAGAGAGAGCCCCCATTACACATTGGATAGGATGCTGGGTGGGCCTCAGAGCCGGCCTGGATGACATGGAAAAGTGAAAATTCTTGCCCCCAGTGGGACTCAAACTCCAACGCCTTGGTTGCCACGCCCATAGCCAGTCGCTATCCTGGCTCCCGTGTATCCTGTGGGTACTGATAATATTGTCACGTGTCTTGAGTTCGAATCTTGTCAGTCAATTGTGTAGCTCAATCCCACTTCTGACACCAATGTAGCGTATTTATTCCTTTCGCTCACTTACACACACTTTACAGGCATTTTCACTTGCAGTGTCACAATCACTGCTTACAATATTCCGGCGATACTGGACCCAGACGGATATTCCGAAGCTTCTTCTCCGATGGCTGTTCCGCGACTGACTTCTTCGAATGCTATTCCGAGACGCACTGTTTGTGAATGCATTCAACCCCGCTGTTGTAGCTGTGGAGACGTTGCTCTGTTGGTTCCGCGTTTCCTACGCAATAACCCATTGTTATCGCGTTGTCTCTGTGGGAACGCTTCGCGTATTCGTCGTAACCTTGGAGATTCCTGTTATAACTACAATGGAGCGATTGTTGTTTCTTGTGCGACGGTCTATACTAGAGTTTCCATAGAAGTTACTCTTCTGGATTCCAGACACGTTACAATATTTTGTTGGGGATATATGAAGTGTAGTATACTATGTAAAGGAGATGGCTTATGATTGACTATTTGTGCATGTTATTTGTGGGATATGGTGTTATATATTGGCCTTGATACATCACTTGATAATATGTAGGACTGGAAAAGAATACATGAGAAAGCAGGGGAACCTAATAGTATTAGAGCTTATGTTCCTATAACAAATGATGAGGGAGTTGATTTATTAACAGCTGTTACATTAGTATACAGACATTTTAACCTTGTCACATGTGTATGTTCGTCTGTGGATGTGAATCACATAACATAGAAATGAACTAAGTCATAATGAAACTAAGATGCATAATTTAAAGTGTTTAATCATATTCAAGTATGAAATCACTGTTTGTTGCTAACATCAGATTTTATGATTTTAGAAGCTAAAAAGGAACAATGGTTTCACATGTGTGTGGCATATAAATCCACCACTTGTACCAAAAACTCATCACTGGACATGAGATCCTGCACCAGTTGCATCCACCTCCCATCATCACAATTTCTGTCTCGTAATATCCATCTTAGGGGGCACGCGGTAGCGTAGTTGGCTGAGGCACTATGCTACAAGCCGGAAGGTCGCGGGTTCAAGTCCCGATGAGGTCATTGGATTTTTTTCAGTTAACCTAAACCTTCAAGCCGCACTATGGCCCTGGGGTTGACTCAGCCTCTAACAGAAATGAGTACCAGGAATTAATAAAATAATTTTCCTAGGGAGTAAAGCGCGGCCGGCATGTAAGGTTGACAACCTTACCGCCATCTTTTAGCCGATTGTCTAGATAGTGTTGGATCCTCGACGTCTTACAACCTAATGGGCCTTCACAGCCTGTTACAGGGATAAATTTACTTTTTCTTTTTTAATATCCATCTTAGTGTTATCCTCCCATCGCCTTTGCAGTCTTTTGCCATTTTTTTCAAGTTCTTTCTCCACCAGCCTTCTGTATTGCTCCTCGTCTCCCTCAGCCTAGCCACATCTCCATCCCACCACGGCCTCCCCAGTTGCACTATCCTAACAACACCGTGACCTGTATAAATAATGTAATATTGTGAATTACTCATTTACTTCAGCCTTCTTACTAGACCCCGAATTTCCTGAGCCATTTATTTTCAAACACTTGTAATTTATGTAGGATTTTAGGTTCGCAAATATTGTGTTCTGGTATACGTGTATAACGAAGTGTAGTCTGTTGAAAGCCAACCGACATTTCGGAGGAACATATCGCCTCCATCTTCAGGGTTGATGAATAAGCCGAGCAAGAAACCAGCCTGAAGGCAGGTGGCAAGCACAGCCTCATTTATACTTGACATTGTTTCAAATACATTTTTAAACATTTTCAAATTATTCTTTATGTGTAGTTATGTTATGACTCTTTTGCTAAGTTCAGTTTCGTATAATACGTAGTTTTGTGTAACTCCAGGCAGCAATGATTTTGTTTCACGACCGCAGATTCAGGGGAACGAATCGGACGTTCCTCCATGTCAACCGGGTTTCAAATTGTTGCGTCACGGCTGCGCTGTTTGGAAGCCTCTGTACATTCTTCTTACACCGTTAACCATACCTGCAGTTATACAAATTGATCAGTTGGTACAGCGATGTTAAATGCATTTTGGTGAGCACAAGTGGTCACGTGGACGCCTGCGCGTATATCAGTTAACGACGCGCGGCGCCACAGCTCGATTCCGGGGGACAGTTTGGGAGAGCCTCTCCCACTGTGCGGTTACGGTTAGCAGGCGTCGCCCCTCCGAGGCCGGGACGTCTAACGGATGTCAGTACACAAGCTGGTTATTGGTACTTGGGAAGACGAGGTTGTGTGTCCACTCAGCCATGTTAGCAGTTCCTCGCCAACCGTAGGTTTCAAGTATCTGGAGTCGTGTGTCTGTAGTTCTGACAATCGTGATGTATTGTTTTATTGCTACAAAATTTATAATTTGTGTACGCAAATGAAAATACGTGTCTTCCGCACATTTGCTGGGGGCAGGGCTGTATGGCATCCGAAACAAGTTTTATAGCTTTCGGATTCGTACAACGTCGCGTCTGTAACACTTTTTATTGCAATTTTTAAACATGTTTTACGGTTTGTTTTTTTATTATTATTTAGTGAAGGAACATGCAATTCGTTGAACGACCGAGGAAACGTGGCTTGATTTCCGTCAGGGGGGAGACATTCTCATCACTACAGCATCCAGATCGGCCCTGCCGCCCTCCTATTCAATGGGTATCTTGGGTAAAACGGCCGGGGCGTGAAGCTAACCACTAACCTCCGTCTAGTGCCGAGGTTAAGAATGGTGCAGTTATGCCTCCACTCCTTCGTAGGTCTACATGCCGTAGTTTTTAATTAAGTACAGGGAACGCCATACATTACCAGTTGTTTTGTTTCAAGTCGAAGATGGTTAACGGCGACAGCGGTTTGCCTGCTTTTGTCGTGGCAGCCGCGGGGTTTTGCGGAAACTTAAATCCGAGGGTTGGCGAGGGATAACTGTATTTCGATTTGTCTGAATGACTTTTATTATAGCATACAGGTATATGTGAATGTTGCCACTCGTAAAGCATGTTCTCATGCGGAAAATGGAAAATTAGGCCATCCTGGAGTTTAAATGTTTCTGTGGAGTACGGGATCATTGTTGCATGTGGCTGTCACGGCTCAGAAGTCGTGAGATGAAATGGCAAAGATTTGCTTCTTGAGACGGTAGTCTACAGTACACAGGGCAGAATTTCGGAAATTCATATATTCTGGGCACTACTAGTTATTACTGCAGGAGCGAACCATCAGTACAGTGATCCTTGAATGTATGGTTGCCACGTAATACGACTGAAGGAATCAGTCTTGAGATTTTACTTGAGTAAATCATAGTCTAGAGCTCACCGTATCTTTCAGGTCACTTGCGTCCACGAAACGGGTTCCGGCAGTGTCCACGAAGAACACTGTCTTCTGGTATATGACGTCATGCTGTCCGGTATATGTTCACCGACGTTTCGGAGGAACATGCTGACTCAGTGTTCAGGGTCGGAGAGTAAGCCAAGCAACAAAGCTCTACTTGCTAATTCTTGCTGGTAAATTGCTTGGCTTCATCTTCGGCCCAGAAAATGGTGGCAGCATATTCCTCCGAAACGTCGGCGACCTTGTACGGCGTCACATCCCAGAATACAGTGCACTCCAGCTATGTTGTTGCTGCTCTTTCTGTCATTATGAGAAATAATATCTGACACTAATTCGCTTAGTTGGGGGTGGAGTCCAGCTGGGTCCACTCGGCACGGCGGCCACTGATTGGCCTATTGTACCTGCCCGGGTGATTATGATGATGGAGAATTTGGTGGAATGAAGATTGGCAGGGGAAACCGAAATACTCGGAGAAAACCCACCACACTGCCACTTTGTCCACTACAAATCCCACTTGACCAGACCCGGGATCGAACCCGGGCCACCGCGGTGAGAAGCCAGCGACTAACCGTTTGAACTATCTGACACTAAATGAAAGATAATGTGACAGTATCTCCTGAAAACAAATTTCCGATATTGATATGAGTGAAAAGTGCGGTATTCTGGGTAGTAACTTCCGATGTTCGGGGTCCAGAAGACCCTCATATCCAACATGGTAATACGCTTATTCTTAGTAAACATCCTCTTCGAAGAACAAGCAGAGAAGGATAACATTAAGATAGATATTATGGAGACAGGCTTGGAGAATAGGCTTTATAGGTATAAAGACGGAATTGTCTCAGTATCGGGATACTTTGCTGTGGCGATGGCGAGCCTCTAGGTGCTGCTCCGATTGAGTTAGTTATTTGGGCTCGGCAGAGGTATACTAAGCAAGGCATGCAGACCCACATAGTAATAATGCTTCTCTTCACCCCATAAGCCTGGCCAGTGTGATAGAAATTGAGGGTACACTGACTACTCATTGAACAGAGCATGTCGGTTCAGTGAGTAACATTTCTGTCCTTTGTTTTGGAGTTGATGGACTCCATTCTTGGCCAGCATGAGACCTCTCGCGTTCCTACCTAGTCCCTTAAGGGAAATTCAAGGCTAGTACTTCAAATTATTCCATGGCCTCTTCATTCAGTCCCTTTACAGTTCTCTATTCATGAAATCTGTTCGAAGTCATACAGCGAGATACTCAGTGTCATTAAATAAAACACAGATGCAGAATGCTGCATGTTGCAGGAAGTAAGATACACAAGTCTTGGCCAGCCATCACGTTGAAAGTTTGGACCCTAACTTAGATGTCGGAAAGAAATGATGAAATGGAATAGGAACGTGAAATCCTCTAGATGGGGATCGGGTTATAATACCGTGTAGACCGGAAGGAATATAACAGACTTATTTAGAAACGCGTCACATACCTACTGGTAAAGTGTTGCAGTGTTACAGCCGTATTCATGAACAAAGAGAATCGAAACGCAATTTTGTTGTGTACGAAGGTATTTTAAACTACAGGATTTATTTCAAAGGAGAGGGGGGAGGGAGGGCAGTCAGTTTTCTAAGGAGGAAAGCCAAAATTTTGTCTTAGAAACTTATTTTTTTATTGCTAGTGGGGTTGGACTGAGTACCTTGTACTGCGGCCACTTCTGGCGTATTGTACCAGCCCCAGATGATAGGTGAGAGTGATTGTGGAGCGATTGGTGGAATGAAGATTGACAGGGGAAACCAAAGTACTCGGAGAAAACCTGTCCCAACGCCACTTTGTCCATCACAAATCCCACTTGACCAGATCCTGGATCGAACCCGGGCCGCCGCGGTGGGAACCCAGCGACTAACCGCTTGAGCTATGGTGCGGCATTCTTAAAAACTTACTCTGAATATATAATACATATAATACTATTTTTACTTATCCTTTTTTAAGAAATTATTTTAGTATTTTGTATATTTCCTTTTTTCAGTTTATGTTTATGTTTTGAAGGTCCAGAGGGGCATTTCCCTGGCTTCACACCTTCAACTAGCGCCCATGCTTCAATAGGTTAGTTACTATCTAAGAATGCACTGGATTCACAAACAAGATGGCGTGTTAAATGCATGTTACTACATGAAATGTGTGTTTTAGAGTTGACTCGTGTTTATACAGTTTTTCGTCTGTAGTATGATATGATATTACCTCGTGCACTGTTTCAGTCCAGCTGCAACATATGCAGACACGCTGTAGAAGCTCAGGTCTCTGATAACTTAACTGCCATGTTGTGGCAGCAACATATGCACAAAGCCTTAAGTATACGCTACTGTCAACGTGTTCAAGGTTTCAAATCATCAAATAATGGGCGCCCTCGCATCTACAATAATTGTTCGTAGCAGCCTGCATCCCTTTCAAGTCAGATGTTAATGCGCCGTACAGCGCTCTCTGCAACTCACCTTAACATTCTGGCATCGACCATTGTCACAGCTGCTTGAATTCCTGCCACAAGAATTTCGATAGCCTTGGGAGGGACTGCATGAAAGTCCTCTTTCAGATGTCCCAACATGAAAAGCTCCAGAGGAGTTAGTTCCGGCGGGCGTGGAGGCCATGCAGTAGGCTCTCGACGTCCAGTCCACCTTGCTGGCTATGTCGCGTTCAACCACTGCTGGATATCTCCCGAGGATCCCAGCGAAAATGTTGATGTTGAAGTCGACTTTGTACCCGCTTTCGCCGATGTTACGAGGATTGTGCCATGCGCAGAGGTGACTGCTGTGGACGTTGAATGCATCGTCACGCAGAAAACATACTTCGTCTGTTAATAGAATATTACGTAAAAGGGTCTTATCCTCACTGTGTTGGCGTCATAGCCATTCGAAAAATTACATCCACAGAGATATGAACTCCGTGAGGTGTGGTACGGATGCAGTGATCGTCATGAAGTTCTTCGAGTACCCAGGTTTTGAATAGTTCCAGTTGTGCGGTGTTGCGTGAGCTCCCCACGGGTCTCGCTCCACAGCTGTAATTATGGGACCTTCATTGGCTGGTGTCCATACAGTCCGTGGGCAACCTACGTTCAAGTGATCCATAGAGATTACAATTTTGTCTCACAGAGATGCTCCAGTCGTCGAAACACATTAGCGTCTCGATGGCGTCGACCAGGATAATTTAGTGCGTATTCCCTTGCAGAACTACCAGCTCGATTGTTACAGGCACCGAGGGTTAAGAGCACGTAGCAGTATTCGTCGTGTGTGTGTATTCCATGATAATTTGATCACAGCTGACCCCTGCTGTGCTCTGTGTCTCTCAGGATACATGTTGTATACAATTTTCAGTATTTTCTTATTAGGAAATCACAACATGGAGAACCTGTGCACGAAGTTCGTTCGATCATTATTATCATTGTGAAGTAAATCAACAAACTCTTGATGTACATCAATGAACCAGGTCGGCCCCCTTTTTCAGGTGGGCTGCCTAAAATAGTTCTACTTTGCTTCTGTGCAATGGAGCAGCTGTGGGCGACATAAGATATAAATGAAGCCCTAAACGCTTTCCGAGATGGCAGAAGTATCAGACATGAAGCTGACGGGGATACCACGAATTCTAAAGGTGGCAAAACAGTTTTTCCCCCTGGCGAAGGACCTGACGTGGTGACAGAAATTGTTCGGGTCTATTTATTAATCCACACGGGCATGATCTCATCGAAGTCCCATCCCAGAGCTGGTATAGAAGGACTGAGGAATACCACGACAACTTGAGTTAGGATATCCAGTGTCCCGGTCGAGTTTTGAACGAAACACCTCCGGATTATAAGTGAAGTGCTTTACCGCTACGTCACCTGCACACCGCCTGCATAGCACGTCCTTAACTCAAAACACAACAATTCATGCCGCCATTAGTTTCATTGCCCAGAGGGCTGCAACTGAGAATGCACTAAAACTGTATGCCCATATCTGATTATTTAT